CTCCAATAAACCACTAGAAACCGGAAGTGGCGCTGTAGCTCAAGCAGTAGAGCTCTCCCCTTGGGTTTAAGAGCACGGGGATAGCGCCCAAGCCCAGAGTTCAAGCCCCACGACTAACAAAAAACAAAAACAAAAAACAAAAAAAAAGTCTACAAAATTCTAATGCTTACTTCAATGAGTAGGCTAAGCAGTCTGACATAATGATGGGTAAAATTATTATTTTTAAATAATCTTACATCCCTAAAACCCAATCACATAATGGAAAACTATAAACTGGCTCAAGTCTTCATATTCCATTTCCTACTATGATAATATAGTGGGTTTGAGTTTGGAAGGAAACAAAAGAATGTGTGCTAGATTTTGCTTTCAAGGGTAGAAATGTAAGACAGGAAACACTTCCATCTTTTAGTTAATGACCATGCTAGGTACCCAACTACTAACATTACATTTTACATCAGGCTTGGAAATAAAAACCTTGAACTAAGTTTGAAGCTAGCCTGGGAAAACAAATCTGAAAGACTCTAATCTCCAATTACCCAACAATTAGCTGGATGTATAGCTCAAAAGGTAGAGTGCTAGAGGCAAAAAAAAAAAAAAAAAAATTGTATGAGAGTGGAAGGCCTAGAGTTTCAAGCCCTGGAATTGAGTGCATGAGCACACAGACCCACATCCACAGAATAAAATCTTAAAGTAGTAGCTAGTTAACATACCTCTCCCTCCCCAAGTACTGGAAACAGAACACAGAACCTCTTGCATGCTATTTTACTACTGAGTTACATTCTCAGCCTAATAGAGCATTATTATAAGACAAAGTAATAATATTACAGCCCTGGGGACATGAGAAATTATATAGGACTCTGGACACTCATACACAGTGAAATCAAAGTATATAAAATATTTATCGAAATGAACTCCAGGAAATGGAAACAAGGGTTTTATTTGTATTTCTTTGGTTGGTCATAGGGCTAGAACTCTCTGGGCCTGGGAGCTGTCCATCAGCTCTCCAGTTCAAGGCAAGCACTCTACCACTTAAGCCACAGTGCCACTTATGGTTTTCTGGTGGTTTACTGGAGATAAGAGTCTCACGGATTTTCCTGCCTAGGCTGGCTTTGAACCATGATCCTGAGATTTCAGCCTCCTGAGTAGCTAGGGTTACAGGTTTGAGCCACGGGCGCCTGGCTAGGTTCTTTTTTTTTTTTTTTTGTCGGTTGTGGGGCCTGAACTCTGGGCCTGGGCACTGTCCCCCAGCTCTTTAGCTGTAGACCAGCACTCTACCACCTGAGCCTCAGCCCCACTTCCGGCTTTTTCTGCTTATGTGATGCTGAGGAATCAAACCCAGGGACTCATGCATGCAAGGCAGGCACTCTACCACTGAGCCATCTTCCCAGCCCCGGTTATTTCTTAATTGTTATTTTTCCTTTCTTTTTTGTCTTGTTTGTTCATTGATATGTCTTTGGAGAATAAGAGGGGACACAGAAATGGAAGGACAAAGGGTGAACAAATGCAGCAGTAGTACCCACTAGACACTGTTGAAAATCAACTTTACAACTTGTAAGTAGGACGGGAGGGAAAAACTGGGTGAAAACAAGGGAAGGAGTGATATTGTCCAAAAAGAAATGCAGTCATTGCCTGACTTATGTAAAACCTCTTTATACCTTTATAAAAATTTTTAAAAATATTATTCAAATATTCACGTTTTAAGTTTCTCAAAAACAGTGCTCAAATTCCAATTTAAAAAAAAAACACATGAAAACCAAAAGAAAGGGGTTTACAACCAACTATGGAGTGAATAAGTCTATGCAGACTGAAGAGTATGCTACTGACATCTAAACCAACTTTTGTGTTTCCACAAGTTCTGTCATTATAGTTGTAATAGCTGCTTCTGCCTTACAAAATGTACTTTATAATAATATGGATTATCTTTTTTATTAAGAACCCTTGAAGCCGGGTGTTGGTGGCTCACGCTTGTAGTGCTAGCTACTCAGGAGGCTGAGATCTGAGGATCGAGGTTCAAAGCTAGCCCGGGCAGGAAAGACCAGGAGACTCCTAGCTCCAATAAACCACCATAAAACCGGAAGTGGCGTTGTAGCTCAAATGGTAGAGTGCTCACCTTGAGCTGAAGGACAGCGCCCAAGCCCAGAGTTCAAGCCCCACGACCAACCAAAAAAAAAAAAAAGAACCCTTGAGAACTGACAAAGGGAAATGAAAATATGATAATCATTAGACCTGCTAATCTATTAACAGTTCTGTCTTTAATTTTGCAGTAACACTAAGATGTTACCTTAGTAGAGTCTTAGTATTTCATGCCAACATATAGAGCTAAGTATGGCATTCCAGTGATAAAAAAGCAGAAACATAAGCAGTGATACTACGTGAACTTCTTCAACCAAAGACATTGATTAAGGAAGGGAAGTTAACCTTTTGATAACTTCAAAAAACAAAGCTAAGAAGTCACCTCTCCTCTAACCCAATATCATGATAGTCTAGTTACATAAACTAATAGCTGCTTGCAATCAATATATTATCATCTTATTAAGATTAAACAGTAAATACTTAGATTACAAAGTACTTGATTAAAAGTTTGTTTTGAGATGACCAAATTTATAATGAGATTAAAAAGTTGTAAAAGTTATGAGATGTGGCTGAAGTCTTCATGGAGTCAAGGTATTATAATTCAACAACTACAAAAGGAAATTATCTTCTATTAGTGAACATAAAATTTTGCAATCACTATTTTTCTTGCACACTTACGGTTTGGGTACTGTGTTTTCTATAAAAAGCAACAGTGTACTCATCTGTCCCCATTCTTTTTGCTCCAAACTACATTACTTTACTAAAAATATTCGTATAAAACCTACAAAATAGCACTTGAATACTGTCAATGTCTCTCAAACTTTTGTGTGTGCGCGTGTGTGTGTGTGTGTGTGTGGTGTGTGTGTACGTACTTTTTTTTGTTGTTTGTTGGTCATGGGGACTTGAACTTTTTTTTGTTGTTTGTTGGTCATGGGGACTTGAACTCTGGGCCTGGGCGCTATCCCTCAGCTCTTCAGCTCAAGGCTACCACTTGACAGTGGTGCTGATACCACTGTCAGCTTTTTCTGCTTATGTGGTGCTAAAGAATCAAACCCAGGGCCTCATGCATGCAAGGCAAGCATTCTACTACTGAAAGCCACCTTCCCAGCCCTGTGTATGTACTTTTTAAAATAGGGATTGTAAGGGTGATTACAGAGGGGTTAGAGTTACAGAAGTCAAGAAATGAGTATATTTGTTGTTGGACAACATTACCCTTTCCCTCAGAGGTCTCTCCCGGTTTTTCCCTCTGGTCCCCACCCCCAAGTTGTATAGTTCATTTTCAACATACTGTCTAGTGAGTACCAATACTGCATTTGTTCATCTTGATCTGTGAGAGGAAGTTCTGGCAAACTCCTGGAGGGCAGTGTTTTCCATTCTAGATTTACGTGCCCTCTTAACCCAGCACTGACCATACTTTTACCCAGTGGCTATATATATGTGTCATCTCAAACTGGGAGGGATCACCATCATTTGTATGCCCAAATTCATTTTAATAATTTGAACTTGGGGTTATGGATATATGGATTGGGCTTGCACTTGTTAGGCAGGTGCTCCATTACTTGAATCAGGCTTTTTGTTTTGTTTTCAAATAGACTCTCATTGTTATCCCACACACATACACACTGGCCTGGACTGCAATCCCGTTTTTGCTTCCCAGATGTATCTGGAATGAAAGGGGCATGACACTAGGCCCAGCTTTGCAATTCAGATGGTCTCTTGAACTTTTTGCTTGACTGGACTCAGAGATCCTACAAATCTCTGACTCCCAAGGATTATGGGTGTGAGCCACTGTGCTTGGTCTCCAGTTTAACTTTTAATTTTTTTGCCGGTCCTGGGGCTTGAACTCAGGGCCTGGGCACTGTCCCTGAGCCTATTTGTGCTCAAGGCTAGAGCTCTACCACTTGAGCCACAGTGCCACTTAGGCTTTTTCTGAGTAGTTTATTGGAGATAGGAGTCCCACATACTTTCTTCCCCGGGCTGGCTTCGAACCGGTATCCTCAGAGCTCAGCTCCTGAGCAGCTGGGATTATAGGCCTGAACCACTGGCACCCGGCCTAACTTTTAAAACTTAAAGGAAATTCGTAAGATCTTTTCCAGATTTAAACATGTCTAATACTTAAACTTATTTAAGAAGGCACAACCAAAGAGTACATCCTTAGAAGAAATCTGAATGACATCTTTTATTTTCAAAATCACGCCACCTTCTTCAAATCTCACTTCCTCTGTACTACTCCCCACATTCCTGTAGGCAAATCAGCGATGAACACGGCTCCTCGTACTCCGGATTCTTAAAATGATCCACCGGTTCACGAACAAGAAAGCCTTATAGTCTAAGCACTGAACCCTAGTAATCTATCACGCCTTGAAAATGCCCAAGGTCCTAAATTAGATCCCCAAACGCTCCTTTTCTCTCTTGCCCATATTTCTCTTTTTCATTGCTTCTCAGCCCTTTAGGCAGGCTTCTTCCCATCCCGCAGCCACTCCTCCTTCCAATCACCCCAAATCCTTGCCCACCCCAACCACTACCCATCCCCGGTTCCGGGACGACCCCAAGCCTTGAGGCCAGCACCGGTCCCGGGCCCGCCCTCACTCCCACCGCCACGGCTCGGAGCATTTCCCCGTCAGGGTCCGGACTCCCGTCGACCCCCGACCTTCCTTCTCTGCGCGGCTCGCAAACGCCCCAGGCCGCGTCCGACCCCTCCGTCCCTGCGGACCCCTCGCCCCTCTCCTGCGCCCTCGGCGTCGTCTGTCCCCAGGCCGTCAGCTCAACCACCTCCACAGGCTACAGATTCCGTTCTAAGCGGATTCGGGGCTCCCGCAACCGTCTCCCCCGGCCCGTCTGGCTCCACCCCGGACCCCCCCCCGCCCTCACCCTCGGCGGTCGGCGGACCCCCCCCCCCCCCCGCCTCAGTCCCGGCGCCCGCTCACCTCCGCGGCGGGAGAAGGGCTCCGGGGACCCAGCACAGGGTCCGCGTCCGAGGCGTCCGAGGCGCCGTCGGAGTCGGGGGTCCGGGGCTCCTCGGAGGAGCGCAGCGCCTCCAGCGGCGGGGGCGGAGCCCGGGGCGGGGAGCCCGAGGGCCGGCGGGGGCGGGGACGGAGGCGGCCGCGCGCCGGCATTGCGCCAACGCCGTCAGCGCCGCGCCGGCACCGCTCCAATCCCGTCAGCGCCGCGCCAGGCAGCTGCTGGGGCCGGACCGGAACTGCTTCGGGAGGAGAGGCTTAGGGGCAAAGGGGCGGGGCAAAGACCGGAAGGGACTCGGCTCCAAACTGCCTGAGAGAACTGGGGAAAACCGGGCGGGGGGAGCAACGCGGTGGGGGGGCGGGGGGGGGGGGGGGGGGGAAGGAGAGAAACGTACTAGGGCGCATGCGTCAAACCATATGCCTACCCTGAAGAAGAATAAAGGGGTCACGGAGCCACAGGATTGGTAAATGGTGCTAGGGCCTAGGAAGAGGTTATTCTGATTCCTTCAGAAGGAGCTAGCTTCTCTTCAAGAGCCAATCACCAATGATTATTATTAACATTTGCTGCCCCTTGACCCTACCAGTGCCTATGCTCAATGCTTTGTATCTCTTTCAACCCTACAAAGTAGATAATTCAGTAAGATCAAGAAGCATGCTGCCTGACAGATCACAGTTAATATGTGACCAAGCTAGTATTGCAACCCAACTCTACCGTGAGAACCTAAGGTTTGCATTCTTCAAATCTACCCAACCAGTAAAGATATTCTCCCAACCCAGGCTGGGCACTGGCAGAAACCCAAGTCCACAGCCAGCAGCCCATCCTTGACTATCTCCCTAAGCAGGGCAGGATCAACTTTGGTGGATCTGGATGAGGTGGGAGAAGGTTCTGAGGTAGGTAGGGATGACCTGGGGTCTTTCCCCTCAAGCTGTACTTAAGACCCAAGGGCAGTGGGGAAGCCTGCAGACTGAGGTTCACATCTCTGGGCCCTTTGAAGTGAGAGAACGAGAGTCTTTTTTGCTGATAATGATCTCTGGCAGATTGACTACTCGACCTTTTTTCCTTCAGTTGCTCCTGATAGTGTTAAGTATATTAGAGGTGCTATAGGTCTTTGTGACAAGAGCACCTGTGGTCACTGGCTCTCTAATAAAGACTCCCCCAATTTGACCTCTCAAAATTGGGAGGTGGCTTTTCTGTTTCTCAGGACTGAGTTCCCATGCAACAAGAAGAGAACAAAAGCTTTTATAGGCAGAAGCATCTCCCTCCCACCCTGAAAACATTTCTGATGTCAGGCCTTTGGGATCTCAAATTTTATTTATTTATTTATTTTATTTAATTAATTTTTTTTTGGTCGGTCGTAGGGCTTGAACTCTTGGCCTGGGCGCTGTCCCTGCGCTCTTCAGCTCAAGGTGAGCGCTCTACCGCTTGAGCCACAGCAGCATTTCCGGTTTTCTAGTGGTTTATTGGAGAGTCTCACAGACTTTCCTGCCCGGGCTGGCTTTGAACCGTGATCCTCATATCTCAGCCTCCTGAGTAGCTAGAATTACAGGCATGAGCCACCGGCGCCCAGCTCAAAATTTATTGTCAGTGCTCACCTCTTTTATTTGATATATAAAGCACCTTTAGCCTTCTCTTTTGAGATATAAGACGCCATTATAAGGGCCAATGTTCAAACCTTTCCCTACAAACATATGGAACCTTTTAGATGCTTTCTTCCATGTTACATTTCTCTGGCTTTTAAACTCTGAAAACTTCCCCTGAGCTATGTAATCCAAATATTTATCCAACAAACATCCAGTCCCCATTCTGCCCCCATGAGTTTGTGAAACACCCAGACCTGGCAAGTTTTTTCTGTCATTCATCCTTGGAGCCAGCTACTTCTCCACTCTGGATCTCTGTTTTAACTCAGTCCTCAGAACCAAATTGCCTTTTATTTATTTATTTAGTCGTAGGGCTTGAACTCTGGGCCTGGGCGCTGTCCCTCAGCTCGTCAGCTGAAGGCTAGCTCTCTACCACTTGAGCCACAGCGCCACTTCCAGTTTTCTAGTGGTTTATTGGAGATAAGAGTCTCAAGGACTTTCTTGCCTGGGCTGGCTTTGAACCTTAATCCTCAGATCTCAGCCTTCTAAGTAGCTAGGATTACAGGCTTGAGCCACTGGCGCCCAGCTCCAAATTGCCTTTGTAGGGTCTAAATATAAGAGATACTCAGAAACTACTTTTGTAGAAAGCCATGAATTCCTCTCTTAGACCCAAAAAATAACGGAAAGCAGAAGAAAAGCCTAGCATTTTTCAGTTTTGCTTTTTTTTTTTAATTTTTTTTTGTGATGATCTATTATCACTTGAAATTTGAGCTTTATTTATTTATTTATTGCCAGTCTTGGGGCCTGAACTCTGGGTCTGAGCACTGTCCCTCAGCTCTTCAGCTCAAGGCTAGCTCTCTACCACTGGAGCCACAGAGCCACTTCCGGCTTTTTCTGCTTATGTGGTGCTGAGGAATCGAACCCAGGGCCTCATGCATGCAAGGCAAGCACTCTATCATGAGCCACCTTCCCAGCCCCCAGTTTTGCTTTTTGTTTTGTTTTAATAGTGTACATTAGTTATAAAGAAGGTGATTTCATTGTGATATTTTCACAATGTCATTTTTTTATCTGTCTTTTGCTCTGAACCATTCACCTTGAAATGCAGGAAACACAGGGCTGCTTGGTAACAGCTTTACAATTTAGAATGGAGTAAACTACCCCTAGAAAAAGAATAGCAGAGCCTCTACAAGACAGGAAAAAATGACTTGCTTATCCTGACCAGATTACTTAACAACTTCTCCAAAACACCTACCAGGACTGAGATAATGTACAACCAGTCCACAGTTTGACCCAGGACTGTTTTATAATTACATATCTTTCACTTCAGCCCCCAAATTCTTTGGCTATTTAAACCTAAAGCTCATGCTTGTGCTTGGAAGATGGGTTTGAGTGCTTACTTTGCTTTTACTGTTAGTGGGCCCATGACATATAGTAAACTTCCTTTCTCTGCCCTTCAGGTGATTTGTCTCTTTATTTAGTGTGTTGGGGTGAATGGCTGAACCTGACATGTGGTACCTCTGGAGATAAGCCTGTGGCTGAAAACTCTGGTTTTATAAACCAGAGTTCAACAAATGTTGCAAAGTACCTACTGCCCAGGGCCATTTCGATATTTGTAACATCATTCTCAGAGGTCAATATAGCAAGATGGCTTTGACCAGCCCAAAAGGCAAAAAAGAAAATGATACAAGGCTGTCCAAAGGACCTTATTAGGCCCATGAACCAGAAGTTTCTCACCTTTAACAGACACCAAAAATTCTTTGTTTTGTTAACCCTCACAACAATTCTCAGACAGGTGTTGAGTCAGGATAGATGAGGCAGGAAAATTACATTTTTAACAAATATTGTGAGAAAAAAAAAGTATTCTTTTCTGTCAAACTAAAGTGTAAGTTCATTGATATTTCCTGGTTGCTTTATTTACTTCAATTGTAGTTATTGTCTGTACTGTTTGGTACTAGTTAGCCATGCTAGGAAGAGAAGTTTTGTGTTGAAAAGGTTAAAATAATAAATGGTATTTGCTAAGTGTGTTGCTTGTTACCAGCTACCCATGTTAGTAGATAAAGCTTGCCTTGAAGAAGGTAAAATCATGAACTGTAATTGTTACATAAGAAAAAAACAAACTTTTGATAGGAATTAAGGAATTGGCCCCCTTTCTAACTTTGGTAATCAACTATACTTAGAATGTGAACATAACTCCTTGACAGTTCGGTTTGGGATTAAAAAAAAAACCTAATGAACTGCCCTGCATGGTGTGTTTGCCTAGCTCTGGGTAGAGTAATGGTATTGCACCTTTTTGCATAAAAGGAAATTGCCTTGATGAAATCTCCTATATCTCATGTGTCCATTCATTTCTCAAACTGGAGAGTCGTGCATTTCTAATAATAGCAAAAGAGCCAATGGAATATATGTTAGGCCTGCCCGGGAGAACAGTCACCCCCTCACTCCCCCACCCCCAACATTCCTCTTCCTGAAGAACAGCAGGTAACCTTACCAGAAATCACCTGTAGGAAACCAGTAATCACCTGTAACTGTCAATCACCTGTCAATCACCTGACTGTGAGTCAGCGAAAGGACACTCCCTACCCCTTCCCCTCCCCCCCCTCCCCCCCACCTCTGGCTTTGAGGTTACTTCTTCATCTTCTATAGTTACAGGGCCTTCTCATCCTTCCCTACAACTTACCCTAGAGGGCAGCCCAGAAGTTTGACCCTTCCAATAAACTCACTTCTGCCTTAACTGTGTGGCAGTCTCTTTTCAACAACCCTTATATCTGGTGCTGAAATCCTCAAGGGGATAGTGTCAGGAGTCACTACATCCCATCTGCTTCTGTGAGGGTCAATTCACCTTAAAAACAAAATAAAGATGGGGCTGGGAAGATGGCTCAGTGGTAGAGTGCTTGAAGACAACATATGAAACCTGCCAGTTTTGAGTTTTGAACTCCCGTTTCCTGCATGTAGATCAGTGTATGCAGGAAGTGTCTGTTTCTTCCTACTTGACCCTTTTACACTAAAACAAATCCTTGCCAAAACTTTTCACCTTATGAGACTCTTTCTTGTGTTGGTCATGGGGCTTGAACTCAGGGGCTGGGCACTGAGCTCTTTTTTGCTCAAGGTAAATGCTCTACAACTTTGAGCCATAGCACCACTTCCAGTTTTTGAGATAGGAGTCTCATGGAGACTTTTCTTCCTAGGCTGGCTTCAAACCATGATCCTCAGATCTCAGCCTCCTGAGTAGCTAGGATTACAGATGTGAGCCATGGGCACCTACTGAGACGTTTTTTGTGGGATTCCTTGTTGAAATTCATGTGTGGATCTCAAGGCCCTGTGCTTTTGTGTGGAAATGGGGAAGCTGAGGAACAGCCTCCCTCATCATCTGGTGATGGTATGATTAACCTTACTCTACAGATGAAGAAACTGAGGTTTATCAAGGTAGCAACATTCAAGGTTCTGATTCCAGGTGAAATATGGATACTGGATCTAAGTAACACCATCTTGTCCTCATCATAGTCTTGTCCTGACTACGATCTTGACATCTTCATAGATGATGGTGACTTTCTAAGAACTATAGAGGTGATATAGGTCATTTGTTGAATGGCAGATGTGTCAGTTGTTTAGCTCCAGGAAAGTTTTGCTCCAGAGTGTACTTGCCCTTGGTTGTCTTTGATTGTTCCTTTAGATAACTGGCCCTTGAGTGCCCTAATTGTTCCCTCCAGATAGTTTGCTTTGCTTCTGTAAAATACAATTTTGTTAGGTGTAGTTTCTCATTCCAATCGTGTGAATTTTGCCTTTATAAGCTTTGTATTAACTGCATACAAGGCTGCAAGTTTTAGGGGATATGAGTCCACTTGCAGTTCTTGGCTTTCTAATAAAGACTGCTGATTTGATCTCTCAAGGTATGACTTCTGTGTATCTTGCTGATCAAATTTCTGTATAACACAGGTTCTCAGGGAGTTTGGAGACGGGAACCAGCTTGAGAAAAACAGGTCTTGTCCTCTCGGGAGGCCTCTGGTACTTGCTGAGTCACTTGCTCCTGTCCCACCTGCTCCTGCCAATCTCTGAGAAGGGGAATGACACTGGAGAAGCAGAGAGGAATGACCACAGAGGTAGAGGGGTGAGCAGACTGGCCCATGGCTGAAGCCTCGCTCCCAGAGCCAAGGGAAGACTTGGAAGCCACTCCTTGTCCCAGTGTCCTGCAGCTAGAGGAGCTCTTGAGAGCGGGGAAGGCCTCTTGCAGCCGAGTAAATGAAGTTTGGCCCAATCTTTTCATAGGAGATGCGTGAGTAGTCGCTGGCACTGAGGTAGGGGGTGAGATGAAAGAGAAGTGGCCCTTAAGCTCTTTTCTGGGCATAGGCGTATGTGAGAAGAAGGGATAATTTTTCTATTTAGAGAGTCCCATGGCCAGATTTTCTCCAGGACTCTTACGCCCCAGACTCAATGACCAGGTTCAGCCACTAGGGGGACAGGATTTTTGCAGAACTTCCCCAAAGTCCCTGGAATCTTCTAGCTTATCCAGGACAATGAGCTAATCGGTGGGATAGAGGTTAGGGAATAGTACTTAGGGTAGGAGATGAGGATAGACCAAGATCCATCCCTCCACTTTCTGGTCCTAGCCTTCGTCTTCCTGATAGAGTGGGTGGAGAAGCATGACTGCAGGTGAATCAGAGAAGGTGTTACCTCTAAAATATTTGCAGATTAGAGTCAGGTATGAGGTGGTGACCAGCAGAGGCTGGATGTGGGATATGTGTGGGATGGCATAGGGCAAAAAGGGTGGGGCAGCCATGTCCCAGGGCTGAAACAATCCCTTTTCTCTGGGCTGGAGATAGAGCATCTGAGGGAGCAGAGGGTCTAGAGATAACCCCTTCCCACCAGAAAGCTCTGGGGGTGGAGCTGTGGCCTACAAACCCCAGTTGGGGATTGCCAGATTCTAGCTTCATTTGGACCCTTCCAGTTTCATACTCCCAAAGCAGAGAGAAAGCAAAGCTTCCTTCCTGGACCCTACTGATCAGCCAGCACCCAGCGCCCTTCCTGTCTTCCCCAGGGCCACTGCAAACAACCGCTTTGAGCTGTGGAAGTTGGGTATCACCCATGTGCTGAATGCTGCCCATGGGGGCCTCTATTGTCAGGGGGGCCCTGACTTCTATGGCAGCAGTGTGAGTTACCTGGGGGTGCCAGCTCACGACCTCCCTGACTTCGACATCAGCACCTACTTCTCCTCTGCAGCTGACTTCATCCACCGTGCCCTCAACACACCTGGGGGTAAGATTTGGGGCCAGAACCCATAGCCCATCCTTCTCATTAGTGGGGAAGATGTTCTGTTTTCAGTCAGTCATCCGGGTTCTCCTGTCCCTGGTCCTTAAAGTCCTCCACTCAGTGCTCCAGCTTTGTGTCAATTCTGGGGCTTGAACTCAGGGCCTCATGCACTTGGTTATTTTACTCCAGGCTGATGCTCTACTACTTAAGCCACAGATCCAATTTCTGTTTATATTGCTGGTTAATTGGAGGTAAGAGTCTCTTGGATTTGTCTGTCCAGGTTGGCTTTGAACCACAATACTTGAATATCAGCCTCTTGAGTATTATAGGCATGAACCACCAGCTTTAGACCTATGCTCCAGCTTTTTATTTAATCCTATTGCTTTCCAGTTGTAGAAACAGGCTGAAGTAACATCATAAATTTGGGACAGCCTTGGGACTGGAAGCTAAATCTCCCAAAGAGCAGAGCAATTCTTTCATTGCTTCACTCAGGCTTGCAGAATCACTATTTGATACCCACATGTTTGCCCCAAGGTACTTCCAAATGAAAAAAAGCAAGGAAATTAAATACCCCAGGTACCATCAAGGAGCCAGGGACTCCTGGTTTGTGTTCATCCTGGACGACAACTGTGCCCTTAGTACATGACCTTGGATAAGCCAGTATCCTTCTCTGGACTTGTTTCTTCCTCCATATGATGGAAATAAGAAGACTATAACTCACGTTGCTTCACATCCAAAACAATGTGGCATCTTTTTTGTTCTCATCCATTCAACCATCAGCTATTTATTGAGGATCTTCTTTTTGTTGTTGTTTTTGCTGGTTGTGGGACTTGAATTCAGGGACAGTGCCTTGGCCCTTGAGCATTTTTGCTCAAGCCTAGAGTTCTACCACTTTGAGCCACAGTACCACTTCCTATTTTCTGGTGGTTAATTAGGGATAAGAGTCACATGGGGACTTTCCTGCCTAGGCTGGCTTTGAATTGCAATCCTCAGCTCTCAGCCTCCTAGGTAGCTATGATTACAGGTGTGAGCCATCAGCGTCTGGCTTATTGAGTAGCTTCTGTGTGCCAGGCCACTAAACTAAATTCTAGGAATCCAGACTTAAGCAAGGCAGGTTCCTCATGGAACTTGCCAGTCATATTGTAAAATGGTGGTACTGATATGAGAGAACACATGTGAACACATGTGCTACAGGAACACAGCCCAGAGGGTCAGAGAGACAGGGATACAGGGACTTCCCTCTTAGCAATTTCCACTTAGGCCATATGCAAAAATGAAGAGCTGCTCTGTGATTCAAGTGATACACGAGCGGTGAGGAAAGCCTGTGGGAGGAAGCCATGTCTCAGGCTGATGGATTTCATCCATTTGATGGATTAGTAGTAGAAGTGTTAGTCAGACTAGGGGAAACATTTACCAGATAGTAGGAATAGCATGTGGTAGGACTAGAGGTCAAGGACCATAACAGCTTCAAAGGACCAAAGGCAAATCTGTGTTGCTCATGCCGAAGGCTGGGAGTTCTCTGAGGTGATGATGCTCAGTCATATGCAGAGTCCTGATTGCATCCCAAGATAAGTCAAAACAGGTGATGGTTTACCTATTTGAGAAACTAGGAAACTGAGGCCCATAAAAGCTAAGTGACTTGCTCAGGGTCTCAGAGTGTACCGAAGGCAGAGTCAACCATGGAAGTTGGGTCTCCACCCCAGCCACTGGGTGGGTCTTTCACTGTGATGTCTTCTTCCTCAGCCAAGGTCCTGGTGCACTGTGTAGTAGGCGTGAGCCGCTCTGCCACCCTGGTTCTGGCCTACCTCATGCTGTATCAGCAGCTGTCCCTGCGCCAGGCAGTGGTCACTGTGAGGGAGCACCGATGGATCTTCCCCAACCGTGGCTTTCTCCGACAGCTCTGCCAGCTGGACCAGCAACTGCGGGCCACAGGCCGGAGCTGAGGGGCCAGGTAAGGAGGGACAAGGGGATGTGAAGCTGTGTGCTGCTGGCAGTGAGAAGTTGGCTGAGAACCTGGGCAGGGAATGTGTGATGGGTTTGGCTGGCAGGGTTGAGTGTGGCTGGAGGTGAAGGTAGAAAGGGTTCCTTTCTGGTCCACTCCTCAAGCTGCTGAACTTCTTTAGTCTACCCGAGGTCTCATTTGGGCCTGGTAGGACCCTTGCCTAGTGTCTCTCGAGCCCTCCAGACAGAAGAGGAAAGTGAAGAAGGGTTGAGGTGGGCCTTTCAACCTGCTTTGGGCCACCATCACTTCCTACTAAGGGAAAAGCACAGCCAGGCTGGGTCTGTGGTATAGGTGAGCAAGCTCTATGGTATAATGACCAAGAGGGAACCTGTTCCCATTGGGAACGGTAAGTTCCTAAGCCTGCTCTGTCTCCACAGGACCGGATTAAGAAAGTTGGCAGAGCAGCAGATCTCTGATCATATCTAATCACCCTATTTCCCCAGCCTGGAGCCTAACACACCCTGACCTCTGACTTCAGCATCTTGCCCATCAGGCAACTGGTAATTCATTGGTTGCAGCATTGCACAACCTGTGGAAGTGCCATCCAACCAATTGTGTCATTGGAGCTCCCAAGAGTGGTTCAGTGCACAGCCTATGCAGCTGTACCCAGCAGATGAGGGGGCTGTGGAGGGAGGATCTTTCTCTCCATAAACCATGGACACCAAACTTACCTCATCTCTCCTTGTACCTACATGCCCTTGCTTGACTTTACAAACAGGATTCAAGGCAGAAGCTAATTTAGATTACAGCCAGCCTAGGCCTTTGTTTACGAGCTTATAACAAAAACTCTATCGCTCTTCCAGAGACAGCCCTTACTCCTGGCCATAGGGCTCTGCCACTCTGCCGCCCTGGGACTGGCCCTGCTGATGCTGCTGGAGGCTCTGGCCCCAGTGGATTCCCAGAAGACAGTGAGAGCCTGGCATGGGGCCCATTCTGGAGCCCACTACTCCATCCGCTTCCTGTGTCCTTCCACTCCTCCCAGCCACTGTCTGCAGTCTCCACAGGTGAGAGTCAGCTGACCTCTCAGCCAAGCCCTGAGAACCCTTGGCTAGGGAATCCCCTTGTTCCCTAGAAGGAGCCTTCTAAGTGCTTCTGACAGCCATTGACCACAACCACCTCCCCCACTCTCCTAAACCCGAATCTAAGATCTTTAAGCCACCCTAATCAGCCTTGGGGAGCCCTTAAAGAACAGCTTCCTGGCCCCATGAGAGAGTAGGGCCTTGGCCAGGGATGTCAGGGATCATTCTGGGATTTGGCATCCTTGAGTGGAGAAAGCATGACAGAAAATAAGACTGGTTCTTGGACCAATCTTCTGACTGCAGAATAGCATTGGTCTAAAGTCTGGCTCTGTACCCACTTGTGCCTGGCTGCATTGCCTTCCACCTAAGTCTGACTGATATTGATTTCTGGCCAATCCTGTCATCTTCAGTCCCCAACTAAAGGCCCCTGAGACTGGTGCGGCACCAGTGTTACCCATGCCATCAGTTTGTGCATGCTCTGGACTCGGTGCTTCTCAGTCCCCCTCCATAGATCTATCCAACTCTCACTTTCAACCCTGGCTCTGCACAACCCTCAAAGGCCAAGGGAGAGTTTCTTTTCCTTTCTTTCCTTTTCTCTCTCTTTCTTTCTTTCCTTTTCTCCCTCCTTCCCTCCCTCTCTCTCTCTTTCTTTTTCCTCTCCCTTTCCTCCTTTCCCCTTCCTCCCTTTTCCCCTTCCTTTTCCCATTTCCATTTCCATCTCTTTCTTGTGCCATTACTAGGGCTTGAATTCAAGGCCTAGATGCAGTCCTTGAGTTTTTTTCACTTAAGACTAGCACTCTACCAACTTGATCCATAGCTCTATGTCTTAATCTTTGGTGGTTAATTGGAGATAAGCATCTCATGAACTTTCCTGCCCGGGCTGGCTTTGAACCTTCAGATCTCAGCCTCCTGAGCAGCTGGGTTATAATAGGTGTGAGCCACTGTTGCCTAGACCAAGGGAGATTTTCTTCTTTCTTTCTTTTTTGTTGGACGTGGGGCTTGAATTCTGGGCCTGGGCGCTGTCCCTCAGCTCTTCAGCTCAAGGCGAGCGCTCTACCAATTGAGCTACAGTGCCACTTCCGGTTTTCTAGTGGTTTATTGGAGATAGGAGTCTCATGGTCTTTCCTGCCTGGGCTGGCTTTGAACCACGATCCTCAGATCTCAGCCTCCTGAGTAGCTAGGATTACAGGCTTGAGCCACTGGTGCCCGGCACGGGAGATTTTCTGTTTGTCTGGTTTATGTATTTTTCAATGCTGAGATCAAATCCAAGCTCTTATGGGTGCCAAGTAGGTGCTCTACCACTGAGCTAAAACCCCAGCCTACCAAAAGGGATCTTAAGATGGATTCGTCTTTCTTCTTCCTGCCCAGCTGCCCACATCTAAAGATACACATACCCCTGGCAGACCTCTCTGAGCTGATGCCCAGAAAGACTAGGACTGAAGCCTGGACCTAGGGAAGGTGCTTGGCTGGGCATGGCTCTGACCATGATACGGGACCAGTGGACAAGTTGGGAGTGGCAGGGGGAGGATGAAAAGGGAGAGGGAGCAAACAGCATGCTTTATAATTGAACTCAAATCAAAAAATAGAAACAGCATCAAGAGTGCAGACACAGGCGGCTGGACACTGGCAGCCCAGACTGCTCATCAGAAAAGACCACAGCCTGGGCCAGATACCATCACAGGTGAGTGATTGCTCCTAATTCAGGGGTCCCTGAGCATGTTGGGTAATGGGGTGTGCCTTTAAGTGATGGGCAAGTGAGAAGAATGCGTTGGGGACAAATAACTCAGAGGCAGAGGGACAGATGAAGCACGAGAGTCAGAAAGACCTTGCTGTAAGTCTTAACTCTGATACTGATTGGCCATGTGAACTTGAGCATATTGCTTAATCTCTCTGAGCTTCAATTTCCTCATCTATAAAATGGGGATGATATTACATGCCTCATAAGAGCACTGTGAAAATTCAGAGAGAGGGCTGGAAATGTGGTTTAGTGGTAGAATGCTTGCCCAGCATGCATGAAGCCCTGGGTTCAGTTCCTCAGTACCACATAAATAGAAAAAGCTAGAAATGGTGCTGTGGCTCAAGTGGTAGAGTAGTAGCCTTGAGAACAGACTCTGAATTCAAGCCCCAGGACTGGCAAAAAAAAAAAAAAAACGGCGGCGAGGGGGGGGAAATTCCAAGAGAAAACATAAGCATTGAGCTTTGTCTGACATGTAGTATATATTTTCTCAATAGGTAACAAATATAATTGATTTTTTTTTTTTTTTGGTCGGTCATGGGGCTTTAACTCTGGGCCTGGGTGCTGTCCCTGAGCAATTCAGCTCAAGGCGAGTGCTCTACCACTTGAGCCACAGAACCGCTTCTGGTTTTCTGGTGGTTAATTGGAGATAAGAGTCTCATGGACCAGCACTGGTGGCTCACACCTGTAATCCTAGCTACTCAGGAGGCCGAGACCTGAAGATCACGGTTCAAAGCCAGCTCAGGCATGAAAGTCTGTGAGACTCTTATCTCCAATAAAACACTAGAAAACCAGAAGTGGCACTGTGACTCAAGTGGTAGAGAGCTCAAAAAGAGTCTCATCGACTTTCCTGCCCAGGCTGGCTTTGAACTGTGATCCTCAGATCTCTGCCTCCTGAGTAGCTAGGATTTCAGGGCACCCAGCTAGAATTGATTTATTTTTATTTTTTAGAATTGAATTTTTAAACATGATATTGCGGTTTGAACTCAGGGCCTTGCCCTTACTAGCCTGGCACTCACTCTACCACTTGAGCCATGCCTCCAATCCTGCTTTTTATTACTTAGGAGATGATCCCGACAAACTTTTTTTCCTGGGCTGGCCTTGAATCATGAGTCTCCATATCTCAGCCTTCTAAGTATGAAGCCATGAGCACTCAGCTTGGTGCATGTTGTAATTACTGCTAGAGAAATAAACCTCAATATAACATTGGGAGATACAGACCAAACCTCCTCACCCCATAGGCAAGTGTCCCTTTACCTGGAATATGGCCAAGGCTTGAAAGGGTAAAAGCAATTCTGGTGTTGATAATAATAAAGCGCGCTATTTATCAGGCACTAGTGTGAGGGAGATCATGTAGGTAGCACTTTAAATTTTGAATTTTGGAAGGTAGTAGGTCAGAGAAGGCCACATAGACACAAGCAGAAGACCTGAGAATTTTACTCATACCATTTCCCCTCCAAGGCTGTACCATAGTCCCCACCTGACAGCTGCCTGTCTGTCACTGTTATGGAGATTTCCCCAGAGTCTTCACTACTTACCCTGAGGTCTCTACCCTGGCCTGTTCTGTGTCTCTCTACAAAGAGGGCTGGCAGCTGGGAAAATGTCTCTGGGAGTTGCAGCTGAGGTGGATGGCTAACAGCTACCCTAGAGGCTTGGGGTTGGCCTGAGGATAAAATGGCAGGCAGGAGGTCATGTTTGGGGGTGGAGGGTCGGGGATGGGGAAGACAGGCAAAGGGAGAGCAAGCTAGAGAGGAAACTTATATGGAGACAGAAGGCAAGGGTATGTCCTTATAAGCAACAGCAGTGCAGGGTCAGGGTCAATGAAAGGTAGAGCAGGGAGCAGGCCAGCACCAGAATGAGTGGGAGTATAGCACTCAGGGCCCTAGCCCTGCTGGACATCAAGGTCCAGCTTCACCCTGCTGAGGCTGAGGACATACAAAAGTTTAGACAGGGCCCTCTGCAGGTCAGGGCCAGGGGTGGTAGAAACTAGAGGAGCTGTAGTTGAGAATCCCATTCTCTGAGTGCTGCAGGGTAGGTGGTTCTGATTGACAAGGTGGACTGTGACCCCAATGGGCCAGAGCAGTTGGTTGGGGTGAGCATCTGGAGTGAGACTTGAGGGGGAAATGACCAGGAGTATTCCTAGGTCCAAATAAAAGCTCCATTATCTAGACCAGTGCTAGGTCTTCTAAGAAGCTGAGGCAGCTCCTCATCCCTAACCCCCTGGAAAGAGCAGGATTGGGTACTCAGCCAGAGCCAGGCTGCCCGCTCCCAGGAATAACTGGGATGTAGGGCATCTATTTGGCCACCAGGGGGCGACCTTACCCCATGACAGGCTCAACAAGCCTGAGCTGAAAGCTTGTGTGGCCCTGGCTGAAGCTAAAGCAGCCCCATCTATTGGTTCCAGATGAGACTGCAGGACTTCCCTGGATTCTGTCTTTCCCTGGTTCCCACAGCTCCCCTCTCCCTCACTTCCTCTCACAACATAACTCCATTGCCCTCTGCCTGTCCTTACTTCAAACAGATACTTCTCTCTCTTGCTGGGGACTGAAGCCAAGAGAATGGAAGATCAGGCAAAGCCATGATCTTTATTTAGCTAATCAAGAAAGGGAAACTGGCTTAGCCAGGAACCAAGACCTGCTCCTGGCCACAGAATCAGTTATGGCTGAAATCTCAAGGGACACAACCAGTGTCTCCACCCTCCCTTCAAAGTTCCTCCATCTTCAGGGGGTTACTGGTCAAAAGCCTTCTACCACAGAGACAACAAGGTGAGAGAGGGCCTAGGGTTTGAAAGACCCATTGCTTCAGTCCACAGTAGCCTAGATCTGCTTTTAACATCACCTCCATGGGCACCTCAAACCCTATCAAGTCCCCTACCTCTATGGTCTCCCTATCTCTACAGGCTTCCCACCCCTGTATGTTCCCCACCCCCACAGGGCTCCATAGTCATCACCTGGAATTCTAAGCGCTTCACAGCATCTGTGTTCTAGGTAGAATCTGACTGACCCTGTTCCGCTCATCTGCTAGTCCTGTCCCTGTACCTAGTCCCCCATTCCCAGCCCCTAGACCATGCCCTAATTAGGTGGCAGGCCATTTAGCCTGCCCTGAGAGGTCACAGTGGGGGATGAAGGGAAAATCTGGATCTTCACTTCCACCCTGCTCACCGGCCCCCCGATGCTGGGTGAGCCTGGCCAAGCCGGTGGCTTCCTGGGTACCCATTTCTCTTTCTGGTCCTGGCACTGCCTACCAGAGGGAAAAGATGTTCTTTCCAGTTTGTAGTTTCCCTAGTTACTGGTTGAGGGAACCAGGGACAGTTGGCCAAGACAAGCCTTCCTTCCAGTCTCGGCACCAGACTCAGGTTTTGGTGCCGCTGCCAGCCCAGCCTTGCAAGGTCTCGGATACCCTGAGTCACCTGACTCCAGACATATCCCACCCCACCCGGGTGAGGCCTACGGAGCCACATGGGCCTGAGTCGTGGGGGTAAGAAGGACAAGCCCAGGGCCTGGAGGAAGATGTGTAGCTCAGCTAAGCTGGGGTCCCCTGAGAAGACACACTGGTTAGCGATTGCTTTATGGAATCCCCAAACATGGCAAGTGAAATGTTGGGGCAGGAAATTAGGACTTAGGGGACTGGATTGAAACCCCAGCCCTACTCAGTTACATGATCTTGTGTTGTCACTTAAGAAACCTGGAACTTCAGTGTCCAGCTATAAAGGATACCACAGGGAGGCCTTAGAGAAGGGAGACCAGCTCCTCCAGTATAGAAAAGTTAACAAAGCTCATATGCACTGGCCTGTATCCCGGAGAGGGGCTCTGATCTCATGCACCTGAAAAAGGGAAGTGCTGGGGGCCTGGGTACTAGTCCTGGAAACAGTCGTGGGGGGAAAAGGCTTGAGATAAGTTGCCCAGATTGGGGTAGGGGGACTTTGATATATCGCCTTAGTCATTTGGGGCTTCCATGTCTACAAAGTCCCAACTGACCAGCCACTTAAGGGTTAAGATCTAGACTAGTACTACCACCAGAGAACCCTAAAGTCCCAAAGCCAAAGTTTTCAACATCTGTGGCCCTGGGTAAGGGCTGGAGAGGTATCTGTCCAATGTCATGGCAGTAACAGGGAGTTCTGTTTCCCTTGTTGCTGAGGAGAAGGTTCTAGGTCTTAGCCCAGCTCAGCTAGTGAATAACCTCATCTGAAATCCTTCCCACACCTTCCCAGGGGCCCCTGGGAATAGTTTTCTGGGCCTCCCTGTCAGCAGGACCAGCCCTGGAGTACCTGTCTCCAAGCCACTGCAGTGTCCCCTCTGTTCCAGGATGGAGTCACTGCAGAAGTCGAAGATCCAGGGGGTGAGCCGGGGGACCCTCTACCAGCCGCCCACACTGGCCTCCCTGCAACGCTTACTGTGGGTCCGCCGACCCTCCACACTCAATCACATCAATGAGGTCTGGCCTAACCTCTTCTTGGGAGATGCGTGAGTAGTATCTTGGGGCATGGCGTCTCCATGTGAATGGCAGCATCAGTCTCTACCTTGAAAGACAGAAATGACACCTTCTGCATCCCACCATCTCTTTCCACATTTTCCTTTCCTCTTCTATTATTGGCACTTTTTTTTTTGTCGGTCATGGGGTTTGAACTCTGGGCCTGGGGCGCTGTCCCTCAGCTCTTCAGCTCAAGGCAAGCACTCTACGCTTGAGCCACTTCTGGTTTTCTGGTATTTTATTGGAGATAAGAGTTTCACAGACTTTCTTCCTGCCCGAGCTGGCTTTGAACTATAATCCTCAGATCTCAGCCTCCTGAGTAGCTAGGATCACAAGCATGAGTCACCAGCACCTGGCTATTATTAGCACTTTTAATGGTGGAAATAGAACACAGATGAGGGTGGGCCTGGTGACGTAGGACTGTAATCTTTGCTACTTAAGCCAAGATTGGAAGAATCACAGGTCTGACGTGGTGGTCCTTCTGTAATCCCAGTGACTTATATGTCTTTATTGAAAAAAAGTTTGTAGCAACACGTTCTGTAGCTTGTAGTTTCACAGGTACTTGATAAGCATAATGGTCTTTCTTTGTTTACCTCCATCTACCAACCACATCTTATTGGTTGCAGAGTATTTCTAAATGTAGCTATACAGTGTTCCCTTTTACCTGTGGGAAGTATGTCACAAGGTCTTCATTGGATACCTGAAACGGAAAAGAGTACCAAGTTCTATCTATTCATACATACCTATTAAAAATTTAATTAGCCAGGCACTGGTGGCTCATGCCTGTAATCCTAACTACTCAGGAGGCTGAGATCTGAGGATCACAGTTCAAAGCCAGTCCAGGCAGGAAAGTCCATGAGACTTTTGTGAGTGTGTGTATGTCTATCCTGGGCTTAAAATCAGGGCTTGGGTGTTGTCTCTGAATTCTTTTTGCTTAAGGGTAGAGCTCTACCACTTGAGACATAGCTCTACTTCCAGATTTTTTTGGTGATTAATTGGAGATAAGAGTTTCACAGACTTTCCTGACTGTACTGTGCTTGAAGTGTGATCCTCAGATTTCAGCCACCTGAATAGCTAGGATTATAGAAGACCTGGCTTGTGAGACTTTTATCTCCAATTAACCACTGAAAAAGCTGCAAGTGGAGCTGTGGGCTCAAGTGGTAGAGCACTAACCTTGAGCACAAAAGCTCAGGAACAGTGCCCAGGCCCTTAGTTCAAGCCAAAGGACCATCATCAAAAGAAAAAAAGAATATAATGAACTAAATTAGACAGGGTAAGGGAGTAACAAAATAGAATGATTATTCCGTTCAGTAAGGATCACTTGAACATTGCATTACCATGGCAGTTAAACTGATAGCTAATGGCTTCTAAGTGACTAAAAAATGGAGTAGAATATACATAGTGAACACTATACACAACAGGAAGATTCATATCCTGGGCATGGCTTAGCAGGAGAGTGCAAAATCTAACACATCACTCACAATAGTCAACAATTTTAATTTATGACTTGTTTATTCCTAGAATTTTCCATTTAATATTTTTGGACTATGATTGCTTGAGTTAATGAAACTGTGAAAAACAAAACCTTGGAGAAAGGTTAATATTTTATCGTAGGATACTAACAGGTTCATACTTTATGATTTTTAGCTGTCTTAAATATCACTTGATTCATTTTATGCATGTCTGTGGGCATACTTATTATCATTTTTTAGGCAAGATTGGGGTCTGAACTCAGGGCCTTGGATTTGGCTAGGCAAGTGCTCCACCACTTGAGCCATACCCCCAGCCCTTATTGCTTAGTTATTTCTCAATAATTACATCCAGCTTTTTATTGGTTGAGATGGACATTTTACCCCCACTGGTCTCAAGCCACAGTCCTAATGTTCACCTCCTCAGGAGTTAGGATTACAGGTATGAGCCACTGATCTCAGCCTCATGGGTAGATGTCATGCTTTGATTCTATTCCTTGAGGAATAGTTGGGGCACACAGTACATGTAGTGTTCTATAGCTTTTGGTAAATACAGGCAAACTGCCCTTGAAAACAAATGCTCCTAGAGGAGCCCCTTTATCAGGAGAGTTGACTGGTTCCAATCTCCACCCTTCAAGAGGAACAGTGGGGTGACAGGCAAGGTCCAAGCCAGTCAGAGCTGACCACTGAGATCCTGATAATTCCTCTCATGCCCCTCCTTCAGGTATGCTGCCCGGGACAAGAACCGGCTAGTCCAGCTGGGCATCACTCACATTGTGAATGTCGCTGCAGGCAAGTTTCAAGTGGACACAGGTGCCAAGTTCTACCGTGGGTTGCCCGTGGAGTACTATGGCATTGAAGCTGATGATAACCCCTTCTTCGACCTCAGTGTCTATTTTCTGCCTGCTGCTCAACACATCCGAACTGCCCTCAGCTCTCCCCGAGGTGAGCTGCTGGGAAGGCAGAGGGTGGGTGGGGCCAGAGAATGCTAATAGGCTAGGATGGGTGGGTTGTGTAGAACACCAACCCTGTCAGCAACCCTATGGGGCAAATAGCTTCTGCCATTTAGTGTCTCTTCGGGGACACCCTGGAAACTAACAATGTCAGATGGTCATCAGGAAGAGGGCAGTAGGCAGAAGGCACAAAACCTGGCAAAGACCCCTAGCTGGCTGGCCCAGGATGCAGGGGGAGGGAAGAAGGGGAGCAGTACTAGGGGAAGGTGAAGAAAGGAGGGAAGTAGACATGTAATCTGATGCAAATCTAGGAGGCCCCAGGAGTTCAGGAATCTCCCCTTCAATCTGGTCCCCAATCCCAAAGGATATCAGCTAAAGCAGCCTAGACCAAGAGAAGGGAATTCTGTTTCTCACCTCGATCCTGCTGCTTCTTACTGTCTTTAAGCCAGTCTCCTCTCTGTCCATCTCATTTGCCTACCTGAGTGAGGACAGTGTAGGTTTCCCAAGATGCTGGCTAAAAAAGATGGCTGTAAGCCATGGGTTGGTTGGCTCATTCCTAGCTCACTCAGGAGGCTGAAATCTGAGGGTCACAGTTCAAAGGAAAGTCTGTGAGACTCTTATCCTTAAGTAACTGCCAAAAAAAAAAAGAAAAGAAAAGAAAAAAAGCTGTAAGTAGAGCTGCTGGCTCAAGTGGTAATGCTCTAGCCTTGAGCAAAAACAAAACAAATGTTCAAGGGCAGTGCCCAGGCTGTAAGTTGAAGAATCTATGCATGTGTGTACACGTGCACACGCGTGCACACAAACACACACACATACACAGAGATGGCTACATGTCTCTTTCCCCAAGGCCAAAAGAGGTAGGTGAGGCTGGGGGCTAATGCTGGGTTGGGTCTCCCCACAGGTCGTGTGCTGGTCCACTGTGCCATGGGAGTGAGCCGATCTGCCACAATTGTCCTGGCCTTCCTCATGATCTGCGAGAACATGACGCTCGTAGAGGCCATCCAGACGGTGCAGGCCCACCGAGATATCTGCCCTAACTCAGGCTTCCTTCGTCAGCTTCAGGTTCTGGACAACCGGCTAGGGCGGGGGACAGGGCGGCTGTGACTCAATGAGCAGCCAGGAGCCCTGACCCTCCATCAACACAGTGTGACCCAGTCAGTCTGGTCCTGGGAATGGTTGCCTCTGCTGTTTCCAGAGGCCCTGAGATGTCAACAAGCAGGCTAAGGGGAAGGGAGGGGTTGAGGGACTTAGCTGAGGCAGGGGCAGGGAGAGCCAGCCTGGTAATCTTTAGATGGTGAATCCCCCGACCCAATCCAGAGATTCTTTATGCAAAAGAGAATTCAGTCTGTCTCTATAATAAAAAAAGTTCATCATAATAAACACAGGAGATCGTCTGGTGGTTTGTAAGACAAGGCTTAATATTCCCAAGGGCTGCAACAATCCAGGTTGCTTTGGCAGCCTACCTAAGGAAAATGTCTAAGTCCATGCTAAGCCCTAATGGGGGAAGGAGGTCAGGGGCATATAAGTGATATTGGTTCTGGGTGCAAGAGAGAGGATCTGGGGTTCAGGTACTGAGGATTAAATGATTTCTTCTTCATCTTGTCCTGCGACCCTATCCAAAAGGCAGCTTTGTCTGAGAAAGACCAAAGTTCCACGTGTCACATCTTCTCCATGCCAGTCCTGCCTAAATCCAACTTCAACAACCAAAACTTGTATGTGGAGGCAGCCATTGGCTCACACCTGTAGTCCTCCCTAATCAGGAGGCTGAGATCTGAGGTTCACAGTTCAAAGCCACTACCAAAAAGTTGGAAGTGGAGTTGTGGCTTAAGTGGTAGAGCACTAGCCTTGAGCAAACAATAATAACAACAAGAACGAAAAACCCTCAGGTACAGTGCTCAAGCCCTGAGGTCAAGCCTCAGGACTAGCACCAAAAAGAAAAAAAAAAAGAAAAAGGAAACAACTTGTGCTTGCAGCCAGAGATGTAGCTATGTGCTTGAGTACTTGTTAGCATGCACAAGGCCCTGGGTCCAGCAGCATGACTGCAAAAACCAACAACAAAGCATTTGCTGTGTTCAAATCTTTTGGAGCCAGTCAATGTTTTCATTTACACTGTACTTCTAAAAGGACTGTGCTTCATGTTATACAAACCTCAGAAGTAGAGACATTGATCAAGAGGAAAATGGGGGTGTATCGGGTGGGGAGAAGTAGACATGCTAGAAGTCTTAGGCCAAGGACTGTTCTGTGATAGGCTAAACATTGAACTCAAGTTTTAGTTTCTTCTCTCATAAAATCAGACCAGAAAGCCACTCTCCAAGTTCCTCACACTCAGAGGTTGTGAGGGTGCAAGCTTTCCTCCTTCCCCTCCAGCTGCTCCTGCTTAGCCTTTGTCTCCACTGGTTGACCTGAGAACATCAAGGTTGCTGCTCCATACTTTGTCTCTTGTCTCTGTCAATGTTCCTTCTTTTCTGGGGGACCCTCTGCTCCCACAGCCTTGGTGAGAATTTCTAAGCTGATGGTCCCAGATAGAGTCCAATTCTCTTTGCAAAGCCCCAAACCTCCGTATCTCACTGGCAACTGCCCTTGAACTTCAAAATCAGCAGACCTCGTCATCCTGCAATCCAGACCCATTCCGAATTTCCTTGTTCAATAAAAATTCCCCTAGCCATTGCTCCCAAGCCAGGGACAGAACCATCCTGGACTCCACAGTACTACCCCTAACTTTCTACTTCAATTTTCTCACTTAGCTTCATTTTCCTCATGACTACCCAAGTTCAAGTCCCCCCACCTCTTACCTGGGTTCTCATGACACCCCCACTAACAGTCTCTCTGGCTCCAGCTTGCCCCAGCAAGGCAGAGATCTACTACTAAATTGAAAATCCCATCACATTATCATTCCATTTCTGTACTTTACCGAAGTACAAACACCTTGATAAAGATAAAGGTGCTTCTTTACCCAAGATCATCTCATATCTCCAGCCATATTGTAATTCAGTTCTCCCACATATTGTGCAATTGAGAAATGGTGAGCTGGAGGCTAGTAGCTCAGGCTTGTAATACTACCTACTCAGAAGGTTGAAATCTGGGGGAATATCAATTTAAATTCCTCAGGGGCAGAAAAGTCTGTAAGACTTCCATTTCCAATTAACCAGCAAAAAGCCAGCTGGCAATGTGGCTCATGTGGTAGAGCACCAGATAAGCAAGTGATCAGAGGGAGAACACAAGGCCCTTAGTTCAAATCCGAGTACCAGCACAAAGAGAGAAAGAAGGGGATGGGAAGGTGGCTCAGTGGTAGAGCGCTTGCCTTGCATGCATGAGGCCCTGGGTTCGATTCCTCAGCACCACATAAGCAAAAAGAAAAAAGCTGGAAGTGGTGCTGTGACTCAAGTGGTAGAGCGCTAGCCTTGAGCTGAAGAGCTGAGGGACAGCGCCCAGGCCCCACGTCTGGACCAAAAAAAAGAAAGAAGAGAGAGGAAGAAAGAAAAGAAGAAAAAAGAAATAGTGCAGTTCCCAGAATTCACTTCACTGTCTTACCTTGCCTGTGGAACTGTGCTGGTGGCACCTCTGTCCTCCTCCCCAAGGTGCATAAGGAGCTTTTGCCCCATCTCTTCTGTTCCTGAAAAACAAGTACCCTCCCTCTGTGTATATTTGGAATAGGTGTCTCCTGTGAACAAACCAAATTTTCAGGCATAAGCAGCCCTGGTCAACTAGTAGTTTAGTAAAGAAAAATATGTCCCTTCTTTCCAAGTAGACATAACCCCAGATCAGAGTACCTAGGTGGGACAAGTTGGTGACAGGCAGGGTTTTAGCTTCCTTTCACCCCTTTTGCAATTTATCATCTACATCTGGGGACAGGTTAATGTCCCCATTTTTCAAACTGAAGCTCAGAGGACATGAGAAAGGGCTATGATGTGAACTTTCCCTCATCCCCCCTGCAAAGGTCCAGCATCTCTGGGTTCTGGCTCCTACTGCTCAGCCAGCTCTTCTGCTTACCTGTCTGGGACACCAAGTCCCAATCTCAACCAGCTGAGACTGGCTGTTGGCTGCTTTGGATGTTCTATATGTTCTTCTATAGAGGGTGTGCATATGTCCTAGCTGAAAGTGACAGAAGGCTGGTGCTTCTGTGCCCAGCTTTATCAAAGTCCCAGGCCCAACCTCATAGGGCCTCTGCTCTTCTTGGGATAGAAAGCTGGTCTCAATTCATCCTTGGGTTGGTGGGATCTACAATCTCCAGAGCAGACAAAGCCTGGCCTAGCTCAGCAGACCAACCTGCTCGCCCCCAGTTCTCCAGGATTCTCACCCCTAGCATGATAGTTCAGTCTTTGTTGCTATTTCTTGCGACTGCACCATCAGCAGGACCCAAAATAGTGACTTCATACGCCAGTCTCTAAATTATTACCCTGGTCTCTCATGTGGCAGCTTGCCCCTGACAGCTGGAGCAGGATGTCCTAGAGGCTGGGATAGATTCCCAGTCTGTGCCTGGGGCTTGGATTTCAGCACCTCTTTTGGCTGTGTGAATTAGGCTCAGAATCATGAGCTTCAGGGGGAAGAAAGAGGGAAGCCTTAAGTGGCACACAGCGAGAAAGTCAAGTCCTTGCCCCCAAGGTCCTGAGGAAATAAGAGGTGAGCTCCAAGCCAGCACCTCCTAAGAATGCTTTCCTTCTTGCCACACTAATGGGAAAGTCTGGGTCAATGACTCACTCTTCTCTGGGACAACCTTGTTAAGGAAAACAGTGCTTTATTCAAGGCAATGGAGCCAAACTCCTTGGTTCAAATTTTACCTATGACCCTTACCAGACATGAGACCTGAGTTAATCTATCTATACTTCAGTTTCCCAGTCTATAACATAGGATAATAACACCATGGAAAACTATTAAGCTGGGGGCATAGAAAGTGTTTTACACAGTATTTTCAAAATTGACAACTGTAAACTGGGTGCAGGTGGCTCATGCTGTAATCCTAGTTACTCAGGAGGCTGAGATCTGAGGGTTGTGGTTTGAAGCCAGCCTGAGCAGGAAACTCTGTGACTTAGCTCCAATAAAACTACTAAAAAAAGACAGAGTGGCACTGTGGCTCAAGTGGTAGAGCACTTGCCTTGAGCAAAAGAAGCTCAGGAATAGCACCCAGACCCAGAGTTCAAGCCCCTGGACCAGAACACTGACAAAAAAAACAACAACAAAAAAGGTAATTGTAGTGTCTAAAAGTATAGCTCAGTGTTAGAGTGAATGGTCAAAATTCAAAAGACCCAAGTTCACTAAAAAAAAAAAAAAAAAAAAAAAAGGCCAAGTATCTTAGTGTCTTTAGCCAATGCCTATAATCCCAACTACTCAGGAGGTTGAGATCTGAGTATCAAGGTTTAAAGCCAGCCTGGGAAGGAAAGTCTATGAGATTCTTATCTCCAATTAACCACCTGGAGCCAGAAGTGGAACTCTGGTTCATGGTAGAACACTCACCTTGAGTGAAAAATGAAGGGACGACATTCAGGCCTGAATTCATGCTCCAGGATTGGCCAAAAAATGATGATGATGATGATGATGACGACGACGACAATGATGATGATGGTGATGAAGGAGGAGGAGGAAGAAGAGGAGGAGGAGGAGGAGAAGAAATAATAATACTAATAATATTAGGTATGATTTAAATCATAGCATATAGTACAGAGGGTCCTATAGTCATTTGCTACCCAGAATAAAAAGTTGGCAGTGTGCTCAGCATGGTAAATTAATTGATGAGGGACTAAAAACATACTGGCTTACATGCAACATGGTATTCTGGAACAGCTGAAAGAACTAAGTGGAAAAACCACTGAAATCGGAATAAAGCTGATGCTTTATTAATAGTGTCAAACCAATATGTTCTGATGTTAATATCAGAAAGCCAGGTGAAGGATATACAGTCTATGTCTCTGTTATCTTAATAAGTATTCTCTAAATCTCATAGTACTGTAAAATTTTTAAAATGAGTTGACTGCTTTATATGCCAGGCACTGTACTAAGTGCTTTAGGTACAACTTTCTTCCATTTCTTTAGGAAAAAACAAAAACACCATGCATCAAATATAGCAAAATTGTTAAGATTTGGCCATTTTGAGTTGTGGGAAGGTAGATTTTCTTACACTTTTTCTTGCATTCTTTAAAGTTATATCACAGTTTAATAAACAAAATAAATCCAACCTACTTCTAAATTAGAAACATCTTACTCTATGTATTTAGGTTTTGAAACCCATCAAGTCAAATGGATTTTAGGAAGTATTCCAAATGAAAACAGTACAATCATTGCTGGCTCCAGGCCTGAAACATTACACATGCACATTTTC